TATTAAAATGTGTATATGACTGGTGGAAAAGGTGCCACCAGCTCTATCATGTTTAATGTAGTGTTAACCCACATTGTTTACATGTTTATTGTTGGACAGCTGTAATCTCCCAGTTCTCAGGGCATCCTCAATGTTTGCTCGCTCTCTTAGTCCCTTGGTTTGCATGGCCTGATTTGGTCATGCTTTATCCCTCCCAAATTCTTCCATTTCATTAAAAACATCTCTAACAAGTACTGCACAATTGTGCATTGTGAGTAGCAACTGCACCTTGCTTGTAAAGAGGCTTCTTTAATTTCTATTATACTTCTCATGGTAGCTCATCCAGGGCATTTGCGTTATTGTGCATAAAGTATAAACAAGAGCACAGTGACAGTCAGCTTCTGAACCAGAGGATGCGAGCAAGGAAATAGGAGCAGGGAAAAGAGAAATATAATAAGCTGTACCCACATACAAGGGCAAATTAGTAGGATTTCGATCTGGTCAATTTATTTGTGTCTTGCTTCATAAACTGAACTGGGGAAATAAGTGCATTTCCTATTCCCTGCAGTATTGATTGCTGGGGAGAAGGGAGACCCATCTCACTTATAACCTCAGCACAGTAGATTGCGGCTTACACCTCTTTACTGAATAAAACAGAGCAGGAAAGCCTACCAGCCAACCTGAAGATGGAGGTGAGATCCCCTTTAGTAACCATAGTGTTAAGCACACTCCAGTTCTTTGAACAGTGAGAAGTTCCAGGGGTGCAGCCACTCACCCAGATTTGGTTCATTTTGAAGGAAATGATGCAGGAGGCATATATTATGGCTTTGTATACTTGTTTGCATTTATTTACAAACTTTTAAACTGAGCATTGTTGTTGTTTAGTTGTTTAGTCATGTGACTCTTTGTGACCCCATGGACCAGAGCACGCCAGGCACTCCTGTCTTCCACTGCCTCCCACAGTTTGGTCAAGCTCATGTTGGTAACTTTGAGAACTAAACTGAGCATAGGTGGAGGCTAAGCCAGCCAAAATCTACTTCTCCCACATCATATCTCTTAGGAGACAGCCAGGAATCCAAAATGATTTCCAGAGACCTCTGACTCTGTCTGACTCCAAACACAAACTGCAGTCTCCTTTTGTTTTTGTTCACAGGTAAAGGTACCCCTTGACCATTAGGTCCAGTCGTGGACGACTCTGGGGTTGCGCACTCATCTCGCTCTATAGGCCGAGGAAGCCGGTGTTTGTCTGCAGACAGCTTCTGGGTCATGTAGCCAGCATGACTAAGCCGCTTCTGGCGAACCAGAGCAGCGCACGGAAACACCGTTTACCTTTCCGCCAGAGTGGTACCTATCTATTTACTTGCACTTTGACGTGCTTTCAAACTGCTAGGTTGGCAGGAGCAGGGACCGAGCAATGGGAACTCGGCAAGCCCTAGGCTCTGTGGTTTAGACCACAGCACCACCCACGTCCCTTTGTTCACTGAAACATCCTCATATGGGGAGGGGTAGAGATATCACCCCTCTGTCAGGTATGCTAGAGCCATTATTCCATTAGGCAGAATGAGGCACATGCCTCAGGCAGCAGGTGTTGGTGGGCAAGGAGTGGTAGCAAGGTGTTTGAAGACATACTGTGGCTGTGTATGCATTCAACTTGCCCCAGACCTCCCTGCTGCCATGTGGAGAATGTATCCCATCACCGATGAACTAAGACTTGTCTGGCTTCTGAATGTGAGGAAACGCACCAGTTCAGGCAGCAAAATAGGCCAGCTGTTGAGAGATAAATTATCCACTCTATTCAGTTTTGATAGCAGCACATCACCTGCCACCTAACAAAGGAGATACTTGCCAGAACTACTAAGGTAATCTTCAGCAGTTATTCCGGTTCTTCTCCTGGCCAAACTCCAGAATCATAGAATGAGAGTCCCTGAAGGTAGCTCAGTCTAAATTAAATTCTTTACTGGGAATGCTTTAATTTGATTTCACCAGTAAGATAAGTAAATGAATACCACATTGAGTTTTGTCAAATTGTGTCACTTGGAAATAATCTTTCTTGCTTTGTTTGAAGACTGCCAGTGATAAAGTGCCCACCATTAAATTAGCAGTGTTCAGCAATGGTTAAAAAACATGCACTTTCTTTCCTACTGGAATTTGGAAGCTAGTCATTGGTTATTGCCACTCCTTTCCCTCTTGATTAGAGAGCAGCACTTTTTAGTACCCAGTATTTTTCCACTGAAGGTATATGGCTATAATCAAGTGACTTCTGAACCTTTTCTCTGTTTTTGATAAACTAAATGGATTCGAGTTCCTTAAATCTTTTGCTTTACATGACCCAAGGACTTGAATAATTTTGGCTACTGTAGAAATGTCTGTTAGCATTCTTGCTTTGTTATCACAGGTGGTGCAAGGTGGTTCCCAAACAGCTCCTGGATGTTTGTCCCAATATCTTAACAGTGGTTAATGGAAAGTGTTGCCAGCTAAGTGCTAACTACAGCAGGTCATTTGAGCCACATGGAAACACTATATTCAGCATCCTGTTACTGGTATGAATATCTAGGGGGTCAACTCTTCCAATGCTAAATACATACTGTATCCAGCACCATACAAAAGGCAGGAAACCCAGAACCAGCTCCATACACACTTTGAAAAGTTGGCTATGTGGACTGCATAGCCCATGCTAGTCAATATCAGGTTGGTAGACTGATAGCAGATGACCAGGATGGGCTGGCTACAGCATTCTGCTGCACATACTTTGTGAACTAGCTGTACTGACAGAGCAGATCCTGCTCCCCAAGCCACTTTCCTTGGCTCACTTCCATTTCTGGGGGAAATGGAACTGCAGGAAGGTAAGCTGTGGGAGGGGGTGGGTTCTGCTCCCCCCACTCATGTGCTCCCCTTTTCTTTGAAGAAAAATGAGCTCCGCCCCCTCCACTTTGTATGTGCTCACTGATTTGGGTTCAAATACATGGGTCTGTCATAATCATATGCAATCTGAATCAATCTCCAAATCAACTCCCTAGATATTCTCTATATGGGGTACGTGTTTGCATGAACTGTGTTCTGCCATGAAACAATTATTTGCTTTCTTACCATGCTCAGATGCCTAGGATGCCTATGACCTTCACTAGCACAAACCTGCCCATGTATGGAGATCATCAGTGGCCGTGCTCAAATTCATAGGTTAGGTGGGTGACTCCCAGCGACAGACCTTTTTTTGATGTGGCATTCGGTAGTCGAACCTGCCCTGTGGAATGCTCTCCTGCCAGATGTCAAAGAGCTAAACAACTATATAATTTTTCGTAGACATGGAGGATTATCATAATGCATTTTCCCACCTCACCTGTCTCTTAGCACTGGCATAGCTCTAGAGGAAGTATTAAGAAGCAGCTGGGCAGGTTAATAAGCATTTTGTTATTTGTCTTTTACAGCTGAAATACCAAATGGTGGAAGAAGCCATTCACATTAGTATTTTTATCTTATAAAGCTAGTAGATATATGTGTAAAAGCCTCTTAGGGGAAGTCTTATTTTAATAGCTGGTGATTTTAAAAATAAAAAAGACTGGACACTTGTGCCGAGTACCAGCTTGTTTTTAATACTGTTGTGCTGGAAAGTCATAGAAATTTTTCTTTTATGCAATATAAACTAAAGGTAATTAGTTTTTGCTGTGCAGAAAAACCCCGACAAAACTGAAATCAACTGACACTATTAGTTTGCGTCCAATAAATTTAGTGGATCTACTTGGAGTAGAAATTTGTTGGACACAACTCCCCATGGCTTATGGGTTTATAACTCAGCCAAGTCATTGTTTTTCTAAATTCAAATCAAATCTGGTTTGAGGGAAACACATCAAAACACAGTTTCCTCAGAAACAGTAGGATCGACATGGCTTGTGGCAAATGTTCTTCCCAAGCTCACTGGATGCAGAGTAAATGGGAGTTTCTACACAACTTTTGTGTCCATTGCTGTTGTCTCAGCTTAGGGCTTCTTTCGCCTTCAGGGCTGCTATACTCATTTATTTAGAGCTGGGGCTGGCACTTGGCTGGCTGGACCTTTTCTTGGCTGATGCTTGTCTTGACAGAAGGGAACTGGAGACTGTTAGGTGGACAGCTCCTGATGCCCCATGGACCACATCTGAGCAGGACAGTCGACTTGAAATAAAGTGATGGTATGTAAAGAAAGCAAGCGTTTATTTCTAGTTATCTGAAAGAAGAATCAGTTAAAAAACAAAACAAACCAAGAGGACCACACCTAAGTTGTAGAAATAATGAACCAAGCCAACAGGTGTGCAGAAGATTTGCATTTAATAGACTGTTGAGTTTCCAGTATTGCAAGAAGCCTCCTAAGGCGTTTTATGGGTGCCCGCATGGAGAGAAACTAAATAATGCACGAAGGGATCCTATATGGATTTCTGCAGCGCGATGCTCCCACTGCACCACCATGCTTTAAAATAAAATAGAAGACTAATATAAAGCTATGCCCGAACAGGTTTCAGCTTAGGAGCAGAGCCTCCCCAAGAGAGCCTATGGAAATATCCGTCGCAACTCCCTGCCACGCGGCCGGGGGGAGGAGACCTCACGTCACGACTCCGCCCGCCCGCCCCCGCCACGTATGACCCGCCCTTTCCTCGACCCCTCGGGAGGTGCGAGGGCGAGGAAACTCCGCCCACTCTCGCCCTTCGACGGACGCCCCAGCCCGCCGCGCGGCTTCCCCCAGCCGACAAAATGGCCGCGGCGGAGGTGCCGCACGCCGTTCTCATTGGTTCTGCCTGCGGAACATACCACCTCCCCTCCTTTAGGGAGGGGGGGAATGAGCTTCGAGTTAATCCCTCCCTTCTTGGTTCGGAGTAGAATGAGCGCACACAGTTTCCGGATCTCCACCGGAAGCCGGAAGTACTTCGGCGGCTAGGGATTCCCTCTTCTGTTCCGCTTTTCACTCCTCCCCTCTTCTCCCTCCGGATCTTCGCAGGTAAATCGCGACCCTTACGGGAGTTTTATCACTTAACCCTTCCTCGCGCCGTCTCGCGAGAAGAGTGGAGCTGCGTCCTCCCGCTTCATTCGAGTGGAGGGTGTGTAGGTGTGAGAGGGGAGTCCTCTGTGCGAGCGGCACCTTCCCCGCCACCTGCTCCCGGTGGGCAGGATCCCACCCCCCGCCCTGTGGATCTGAGCGATGGAGGGTGGTAGACGCTTGGCTTCTGAAATGGCAAGAGAGGGAACTGGGGCTTGTGCTCTTCTGGGAGCCACGCCTTCCCTGAGAGGGGACTCTCCTCCTCCTCCTCTTAGGTATTATGGGATGGTTTGGCTAGGGGCAGCTTCCTTTATGCTCAAAGATGTGTCCTTTCTTTACAGCAATACTTCGTAACTTCTTTGGGGGGCGGGATACTCGTGGCACTGAAATCAGATCCTAGTGTGAATCTCTGGCTCAGCTTAAAAGGGAAGGGGACGCTGCTCATTTTCATGTAGCAAATCTGATTGATTGAATGATTGTGTGCCCTTCCCCCCACCCCTTTTTGGCTGCCTCTGAGGTTGTGGTTAAAGAAGGGGAAAGTTAACTGTGGTACCAGAAATCCATGTGTATAAATTGAATAAATAATAAGTTATCTTTTACTTTTGAACTTTTTGCTTATCAGTTACCTTACCCCCAGGTATATGTTTCCTACTGGCATTCCAGTGAAGAAACATTAACTTCCTCTATAGCTAGTATTTTTCTTGCAAATCTCATGCTGCCTCACCTGTCATTGACAACTGACCATCTATTGTCTTCCCACTCCTAAATGCAACATAGAAATGATTCCGGCAACTTTGTTAGTGCTTTTTAGGTTTTCTTGCTGGAAGGTAAACGGCGTTTCCGTGTGCTGCGCTGGTGCCTGCTCGCCAGCTGCAGCTTCGTCACGCTGGCCACGTGACCCGGAAGTGTCCTCGGACAGCGCTGGCCCCCGGCCTCTTAAGCGAGATGGGCGCGCAACCCCAGAGTCGGTCACGACTGGCCCGTACGGGCAGGGGTACCTTTACCTTTTACCTTACCCCCAGGTATACGTTTCCTACTTTATATAAACCATATAAACAAGTACAAAGAAACCCTGGAAAGATGTGGAGTATTTATTTGGTCCAGTCTGCTAACTAACAAATGCTTCCTGGCTGGCCCCCAGAGTTCACTAAGAGACTTGCTAAATAAGAGTGGTCACCTGTGTCATTAAGCACATTACACATTTTACAGGCAGTTTCATACATTACAAAGAGGGGGAAATGATCTGCTACCGAGTGTATGCTCAAGGGGGTGTACACTCAATAGCATCTTAGGTGTAGATGTAAAAATTGAATATGTCTAGTGCCCCCAGCTGCTCAAATTATGGCACTAATCTTGATCGAAAATCGCTTTCCCTCCCACAGAAGAGCTTAATTCATTCAGTTTTGGAGGCAGGTAGGCTAACAAGGTTGACTTAAATTCTCTTGCAGATACTGATGCAGGATCCTCAGAGCCAAACCTGTGAAATGTTTTGCTTCAACAAGAGGTAGAAGAGCTACTGCCAGGTAGTAACAGCTTATGATCCTTGCCAGTTTGTTGTTTGTTCCACCTGCTGTGTGCAAATTTTGGTTTAGAAAAGGCTAAAACTATCCAGTCTTCGTATCCAGTGCTCTTGGCAAAATTCAACTGGTGCAGCATGGCATCCGTTTTCTCTCCTCCCTCTGTGCTCTCCGCAACTTTCCAAAGCTGATTAGGGATGTGGGGAGGCGGAGGGGATAGGAGAAGAAGCTTCATTGTGCTCACAGGAGTATGTTGTGTTGTTGGACCCAGCATTGCATGCCACCCCTTGTGTTGAACAGAATATTTGGAAAATAAGGACCAAACTATTGTGTGACAGTGGGAAAAGAGGGGGATTATTTTGTTGCTGGTACATGGGTGGAAGAGCCAGATGGGTTCTGCCGGTGGGCACCGCTCTTTCCTCACTGCCATCATGCCTCACCCCCATTCCATCCCCCAAAGTGTGTTTATATGTGTTGGAGTGGCTGGGGCAGCTGAGCCAGATGGGCGGGGTATTGCTGCAGTACTTGCACTGACAGGGCATTCCATCAAAGTGTGATGTTGAATTCCATCCCTTGTCTTTAACGAGAGTAGATGTAGGACAGCAAGGGGGAGAAACTATGTTTGAAGGATCTGATAAACGGAAAAGTCAGGTGTTAATCTGGACCCATAGGACTACTGAGTTTGGTTAATCCTAGAATCAGCCACAAGAGGCACATGCAATGGAAAACTGTGGCAGTGTGACTGAGTAATCTTTGTAATATATCTTGGCTGACAAGATGATGAGAAAAGCACCACTTGGCAGTCAGCAGATGATGAAGCCCCAACATGACTGCTAGAGATGCTGAGATAGCATTACTCAGACACAGATTATGCTTTCCCTTGGAAAACACCGAGTAAAGAAAGAAATGGAAAAAGTTGTTCCCACCTCTGATCAGAACAAAAAACAAAGAGTAAGGTGGACTCACTCACTTAACTGAGGAAGGAAAAAGAACCACCAGATCCTTTGATATTAACAGACACTGGTAGCTAGGAACTGTTGAGAAACTTGGAATGAGTTAAAATAATTTATTAATTTCACTCTTAATTTGGCAGTGTGGAGTGACTATAGGTTGATTGGGTGGAATTCAACATCACTCTCATCCAGCTGTACCATCTGCGCAAACATTGCAGTTTACTAAATGGAACAATCCTCCCCTTGCTCACTGTTTTGGAGTTCTCCCAACTGGGGCAGAGAGTGAAGGAAAGCTAGAAGTCCTTGTGTCGGGGCTTCCTTCTATGGGGCTGTTAGATGAATTCAGCTGCCTAGAGAGTTTTTTTGTGTTGAGTGACTAATAAATCAAATTAACAACAAGATACAGTGGTACCAGGGGTTACAGACGCTTCAGGTTACAGACTCCACTAACCCAGAAATAGTACCTCGGGTTAAGAACTTTGCTTCAGAATGAGAACAGAAATCGTGAGGTGGCAGCAACAGCGGGAGGCCCCAATTAGCTAAAGTGGTACCTCAGGTTAAGAACAGTTTCAGGTTAAGAATGGACCTCCAGAACGAATTAAGTTCTTAACCCGAGGTACCACTGTAATATGAAGTAATTCTGTGTAAAGTATTTGAGATGATAATTGCTTTATTCCCTGCCCTTGTATTGGGTGTTGTGCCTCCACTTAATTTGTTTCCATTGCAATCCTGAGTTGGTTGCTGATTTGGCCTTACTTAACAGGGGGTGATTTTAAATCCTCATTTTCAGAAGAGATTGTTTTTGTATACCCCTTATGTACCCAGTTGGCTTCTGTGCTCCACAGGAGAGAGCCTCCTGCAAATGTTATCTCAGCAGCAAGTCCATTCTTTATAATATAAGAATTGGACCTTTAGTGTGGCAAGAGCTGCCCTTTGGAGCTCACTTCTGTTGAATATAAGACAATTGTCTTTTTGGTGCCTTATGAAGACCTTTTCTTTTCTGACCAGCTTTTAAGTGTAGATCTTCATCCAACTCTGTATCTGTGCAGGATGTGAAATTGTTTTTAGATGTGCAAGTTGTCTTGAGATACAATCTTGGTTTTGTTGTCAATGCTTTTTACTGTGAAATCACTTTGAGATATTTTATGGGAAGTGATTCATAAACAGAATCAAATAAATACTTTTAAGCAGACAAGAGCAGTATCTGAATCAGGCCTTGTGCCAACAATTGTGCACTGACTGTTGCTAAATGAGCAGGAAGTATGGAGAGAGAGCTTGCCTAATGCCTCATTGTTCCAAAACAAAGGCGAGCCATTTTTAGACTAGATATTCAAACAAAGGGAGAGTGAGCTACAGGACTGTTGTGAGTTTCTCAGATACAAATGATATAATATTGTATATACAAATAGTTCATGTGTACACACACACACACACACACACACACACAGCTTTTCTTGATACTGGGTAAGGCAGCATGCTTCTGAATCGGGTGGTTTCTTATGCTTGCTGTTTCCTAATTTTGCATGGTTTCACACATAGAACTTTTCAGTTATTGGGCTGCCTGAGTGTATCTGACACCTAAAGTGATGCAGGGACCTTGCAGATTTCCATGCACACCCTGCTACTTCAAACAGTGGGCTGGGGATTAGCAGGACAAGGATGGATTACAGAGTTCAAACACAGGGTTATTGTGCAAAGGAACACACTATGTACAAAATGACAATGTCTTAACTGACAAGTGCATGCAGAAAGTGCAACATGCATTGGGACTTCCCTTCCCTACTAAATCTGGAAGAAAAATATCATGCGTTATTGGGCTAACATTCACATATGGCAGGTATACTCTTAAATTCAACTTGCCAAAATGAGGGAGGGAGGAATGAGTATGATCATGGTGTGCCACTGTGCATTGGTTTTGCCTTATGTGGAAACAGAGCTTCTATAAACTAACAATGAAAATGATAGTCACCCTGCAGTCATATAAACAGTACATGGGTGGTAACGACCTTTATTACCAACACATGAAAGGATTGGAATGGGATATAAAACCTGCTAATCACTTGTGCTTTCTCTTTTGACACAGAGGTATTAATGAGCCTCCTAAATGATGATGGCATTCAGAGACAAGACTGTGGATGAGCTGAAGGAGCTGCAGGACAATTCAGAGGAGATTGAACGCTTGGCACTGGAGTCTAATGAGGTTAGAATACATTAGAATGCATCAGAAGGATTGGACTGGAATGGGGGGGTGGGCTTAAGGGGAGCCACCTTTCCCTAACAATGGCCTGTCTTTATCAGGTTCAGGATGTCCAGTTGGAAAGGGAGATGGCTTTGGCCACAAATCGCAGTCTGGCAGAGCGGAACCTGAAGTTTCAGGAACCCCTCGAAACAGGACGTGCAAACCTCTCAGACAAATATCAAGAACTGCAGAAGCTGGTCGAGCAATGCCAGGAGCAAAAGGCAAAACTGGGTAACGTTTCAGATCTCCTCAGTCCAGGATGGGGCATCAGTAGGCTCCCCCCCCCCCGCCCCCATAACCAGATTTACTTCTTGTGATTCCTCTTCTGTGCTGGGATGTGTGGAGGCGAACCCTAGGGTTAGCCACTCCTGATCTGGAAATGGCTCCTGTTTCTTGACACCTCTCCCATTGCAAATGTGGATGGTCATCAAGGAGGGAGGGTCATTTATGAGAAAATATTTTGGTTCCCTCTTTTCTGAGCCTTCTAGCTGCCTGAACAGACTGATGGTGTGCACCATAGTTTCAATGCTATTTGTGCTTGGATAACCATAGAAAGCTCTGTGCTTGTGTATAGGCAACAGAGACCTCTGTTCTTCTTGATCTCCCCAACCTTCCTCTCCGTTGTGGCTGGATAGTTGTGTGGTGGCAGCTCTGAAAGCAATGGGAGCTGTGCCTTCAGAGGTGGCACTCTTCATGTATATCTGCTTGTGCAGAGTCAGGAACTGACATTGTCACTGAGATGGAGGGAAGGAGGCGTGCTTGTTTTGCATGGCATTTTTAATCACCCTTCTTTATTCTTTCCCCATCCCAGAGAAATTCTCAGCAGCGATGCAGCCTGGCACCCTGTTAAATCTTCTGGAGGTAGAAGGGCAGAAAATCGAAGAAGAATCTGAGGTTAGCCTACGATTTAAACTCAGGAGGAAACAAGACTCATGTCTGATACTGTTTGTTAATACTGGTGATCTATTCTGAGCTCACCTCTCTCCAGGCTGACCCTCATACACCCAGACTGTCGGTCAGGACTGTGTCACCTCTCCTTTCTCACATCCTAAATTCAAGCCAGCATGAGAATCATCTCATAATGTAGTTCATGTGTTTTGTTTTAATGAACTTGTTTTGTTTGCTAGAGTGGGTGGCCAGTCAGCAGCATGGGCCCCATAAACCACGCAAGCGTCAAGAGTTTATGGCACTCCAGTGCGGTGGCAAAAGAGCCAAGGAACCTGACTGTGGCTTAGCGTCCGGCCTGCCCTTGTGTTTGGCTCTCTCTCTGTATTTTACCTTCCTGCTTCCCAGGATGGTAGACTAGATGCAAAACTGTGCCAAGGAACTGAGGGCTGCAAATGCACTTGAGGGGCACTGTTTCATATGTGGACTTGTGGGAACTTGGTCACCATTGTTCTAGAGCAATGGACAAGTTGCCTGAGAGGATCCAGTTTCTCTTGCCACCCCCACCCCCTGCCCAGTCTTTTTCACTGGGAGTAGTCATTGGGAGATGGAATGTGCATGATGTGATGAAGAACGCAGCAGAGAACCTTGTTCCTTACTGCAAATGAAAGCCCTGGTTTAATTGTCTTTTTACATTGCAGATGATGGCTGAAAAGTTCCTGGAGGGCGAAGTGCCTCTGGAGACATTCCTGGAGCAGTTTTCCTCCATGAGGAAGTTGTCCCATCTACGGCGGGTGAAAGTGGAGAAGCTTCAGGAAGTGTTGAGGAAGTCTCAGTCTTCCCAAGAGCCAGCCAGAAGCTCTGCGTTCAACCACCAGCATCCTTCCACAATGCCTTCTGGGCCTGCAAACCAGCAGCCACAGAATAGCCTGGCTGGGGGACTACCCTATCCTTTACCTTACAGTCTATCCCCTTGCATGCCCACCGGCCCTTCAGCTCACGGAGCTCTCCAGCCAGCTTCTTTTCCAGGAGCACCTGTTATGGTGGGACATGTCACCTCCTCTCAGCCAAGTAGCCAACCCCCGTTTCCGAATAGATCACCTTCGGGTCCTGGGTACCCACCTGTCTCATCTAGCAGTTCATTACCCCAGCCTCAGGTAGGAGACCCATCTGCATCCTCTGGGTACTCTTGGTCTCCCTCCAGAGCACCCCCTTCTGGACCAGGATACCCTCAGCCCCCCGTTAGGGCCCTATCTACAGGACCAGGATACCCACAGTCTCCATTTTTTCCACCAGCGGGAAGGCCCCAGTGCCCTTATCCTACCCAGCCTCCAGTGCCTAGCTACCCCATCCCTTCCCAGCCTCCATATCCCACAGGTCCAAGCCCACCATTTGGGTATCCTCCACCACCGCCCCTGCCCCCTCAGGGCCCTTCTTGGCCAGGATACTAGTCTCCGTTCCCAGACAGTATTCTTTTTCATAGCAGCCTGATGAATTGATTTTTGCTAGCTACTGAAGCCCAAGATGAAAACTTGGGTGCATCCTCTTGAGAGACATACTTCCGTAAGCATTATATTGATGGCATGTGTGGTTTGATGCTGTAAGAGTTGGAAAGGAACGGCTGTGTGGGATGGTTCCATTTCCTGAGTATCAGCAGGCAATGACTGTTGGCAGCCTTCAGTGGCCAGCTGTACTGACTAAGCAGTCCGTCCAAGCCATAGTATAAAATACAAATCTAGGCCCAGACACTTAGCTGACGTATACTGGCATTGTTCCAAGTAAGCCGCTTACTAGCTGCAGCTTGGATCTGGTCCTGTGCGTGTGTTGGTGTGCTCATGACTGTGTGTGTTGTTTTCTACTTTACTACATTAGAGTATCTATAATACATAAATAAAATGAATTCTGCTCACTTTATAATTTCCACAAAACTCGTGATGGAGATATCAGGTCAGCATTTCTGATGAGAAGAGCATGTTTTCCAGAAGAGGAATGAATGAATGTATGATTTCTCCTGGCACCAAGAAAATGTACTATGTACTAGACAGTAGATAGAAAGCACAGCTCAGCTAACACAAATGGAGAATGAAAAGCTCCCTCACCTAGCCTCAGCTGCAGTCAAATGTTCCCTCAGTCGGTCTGTGGTGGCCGTTCCCATAGAGGTTAGCTAATTTGCATGTTCCTTTCCTCCAGTGTGTTTTCATCATGGCTTATTTGTCTTTATCCTCCCTCCTGAGGGTAAACAGTGGATGTATTAGTTGTACTAATAATTAGTATGTGGAAGGTGTGAGCTAGAGGATCTTGGAACGGTTCGTTGAACAATAAGACAGCAAGTTTGACTTTTCTAGAAAGTCAAATCGCTCTGCATTTTTATACATGGGAATAATGGACAAAATGCTATTGTTCCTCTTTCCATTGTTGATTGTAGTTTGCTTCACTGAAGCATGTAGGCCTCTGTGGCTGCCCTTTTTCTTCAGTAACCTCTTGGGGTAAGAAAGGACTTTGATAATGAAAGCCTCTCCCTCCTTTGTTTGTTGTCCCACTTCAGTTGACAAGAAGAAACACTGGCTCCCAACTGAGGAAACTGAGGGGCTCTAATGTTGATCAAAATAGCTTTGCTAAAGCACTTTATCTTTTTGCTTGCCCGTAATTTATTTTTAAAAAATAAACTACTAATAGATTTGTCCCGGTAGAACACGCCTGGAATTTGATGGAAGCAATTCCATATCTGTGATTAATTATGGTAATAAAACTTGGATGAATTGCACAGAAGCTTATGATTATGACTTTTGGAAATGGAGTTGTGGTGATTGATATCTGATACTGATGCTTCTTTTTTGCTTGCTAAACATCTTCCCTTTGACTTCTAGTTTGTGTCAATAAGGCCTTTCACCTTTCATCTCACAGTCATATGTTTCCTTGTCGTATCTGACTGTTCCTTGTGTCTGTGCCCTACTTAAGAGATCCATTTGTGCATCTTTCTTCCCCATGGACTAATAAACTTTGCCCTTCTCAACATCCTTCAACACCATGTTTCCTCTATCTTGTCCACTGCAATTTCTACCATCCATTTGCCCTTTCCTTATTGATGCATTTAGTGTTGTTCTGTTTCGGTATACTGTAATTAACCTCTCATATGGAAGGCACTGACTTTTAACTCTCAGTTCCCCAACTTTGATCTATTAGCTTTATCATCTATACTTGGTTAGACTCTAACCTAACACTAGATCAGAGGTGATATACCTTCTTTGCTCCAAGGGCTGCATGGGCCACATGACAAAAGTGAGCATAGCCACCCCGCACTCTCATACACACTTTTGCATGGATTAGTGCATGTCGACACATACAAGACAAGTGTGATGGGCCTTACCTTTGGCTGCATGCACATAGTTTTGCATCACATATTAATACATTTTATGTAGGAGGAGATCTTGGCAGCACTTGCAGAGAATACATTCTGAAAATAGCTGTCCTATGTGCACTAAAATTAGGTCCTGGAGGACTGCATGTGAAAAATTCTGTTTGTAGATAAATATGGACAGTACTCTGAAATCTGACTATAGAAAGTAGAAACAACCAGAGCTCTAAGGTGGTTCTTAAAGAATCTAAAAGCCAGAGTAAGCCTGTTTGTTCAATTTTTCTGCTTTCTAAATAAAACTTTTTTTTGTAATCCCATACAAATCAATGGAGTGGTTAAATTGTCTCGGACAGAACAGGTTTTTTGTTTAGTCAGTTTCATTCCAAAGGGAAACAACATTTTCATTTTTAACTGCATTTCTAGTCTCAACTTTCTACCTTGGAACTTACAATCGTATGGTTCTCTGCCTTTGTCCTTACAACAACCCTGTCAGGTAGGTCAGCTGGAGGTAACACACTGAGCTTCACGGCTGAGTGAAGATATGAACAAAGATCTCTCTACTAATTCAACACACTAACCACTACAGCATGTATGTAATTACATGTATGGTAATCTTTTAAGATACTAACATCATTTTTTAAATTTCAGAAGTACCTTTATAAAAAAAGTTCTTTGGATCAGGAAGGGGGAGTATTATTATTTAGGCACAGAGCATGGCAACTTCCTAAATTATACTGAAGTTCCACAATTATTTATAGGATTTTACTGTGAGGATCATCGTAAGGGGTAACTGTGCACTTCACAAAGAATTTCACTGGCAGCTTTCAAACTGCGACCTCACTTTGCAGCTGAAAACTATGAAATGACTTCTGCATCATTTAAAAGTCTAAAATGCCTTTGAAATGTATGGAAGCTTGTATCAATGGGTATTGCATTGACCGGGATGAGAGGCAACTTTGTACAATATGCCAGCCAGCTTTTAGTCTCTGAACTGTGGCCCAACACTTAACTGTCATTGCGTCCAGTCTCAAATACAAAATACACTAAGCTCCTGCCAGTTTGCATGTCTGGGGTGTCCCCTCCTGCTTTTATTATACTTCCAGATATTAAACATGAATATACACAATTTACAAATTAAATTACAGATGCACTCAAGTGCAAAACAAAGAGTTAACATTAAAAACTCACAGCTATACTTGCTCAATTATGACAAATCTATAAACATATAACCTAGTTTAGTCAATAAGACATTAGCTACTAGGATAAACTGTTGTGCTTGGAAATATTCTTTAAAAAGCAGTCCTGGTTTGTTCAATAACAACAGTTATTTGTTTTTGTTTTAATTCATACTTTCCTGTCTTAACTCAGAATGGTTACCTAGGCCAATTGCACAATATTGTCAGAAATCTTGCCCAGCTAGTGCTTGTCAGGAACCTTAGCATTTTTTGAGGCAGTCTTAATTTTTGCAATGATCGCCATTGAGAGATCTAGATACAATCTAGCAACATTCACCAACCTTGTGTCCTCTAGAACAGGCTGGGGCTGATGGGAATCATGCAGGGTACAGTATAAGGTTGGCAAAGCCCACTACAGCTGAAGTCCAAAGGTCATTTTTATAGGCCCTCAAACAGAGAGAGCCTAACATAATTCCACTACGAGGTTTGAATATAGAACAATAGTGCTCTGGATGATTTGAGGTAGAGATCCTGATTCCTCTCAGTGCATTGAAAAGGAAATGCACTGGCTTTGCTATTACATCTCAATGAAGGTAGAGAAGGTCTATATGGTTGCAGGGAGGATGCTGATGGTATTTCATACTTATTGGTGTGGGTTGAAAGCTTTTTTCAGTTCTGCTGATCTCAGCTTTTCCTTGTATTGGATTCTGCCTGTATCTGCAGGGGAGAACATGAATCCCACAAAATTAATATTTCATTTCATTCAGTGTTTTAAGAAGTGACAATGCAGTTACTGAAGTTGTAGGATTATATCCTACAGGTTTTGCCTGACACATAGCTAAAGCACCTGTCTAAACTCTCATTGTTTGCACACACAGCAAAAATCAGTTTTAATTTATGCTATAAAAGGTAGTGGGACCCCTGACCGTTAGGTCCAGTCGGGGACGACTGGGGTTGCAGTGCTCATCTCACTTTATTGGCTGAGGGAGTTGGCGTACAGCTTCCGGGCCATGTGGCCAGCATGATTAAGCCGCTTCTGGTGAACCAGAGCAGCGCATGGAAATGCTGTTTACCTTCCCGCCGGAACAGTACCTATCTATCTACTTGCACTTTGACGTGCTTTCGAACTGCTAGGTTGGTAGGAGCAGGGACCGAGCAATGAGCAATGGGAGCTCACCCCATCGTGGGGATTCGAACCATCGATGTTCTGATCGGCAAGCCATAGGCTCTGTGGTTTAACCCACAGCGCCACCCGCGTCCAATTTATGCTATAGACCTGCCCTATTTCTGGTGTTTTCTTTCAACCTAAGGATATACAAAACAACAACAACAACAAAAACAACAACAAATAATCAGAGATCAGCTTGGGCGTGAAAGTTTATTGAAATAGGCATGCATACCTTTCAGATTTTATAGCCGTTGTGCAGAACATAAGTCATAGTCACTGTCAGAAGAGTTGTCTGGGGGGTTGGAAGATCTGTTGCTTGCCCCTTCCAGAGCTGTACAAAAAAAGGAAAAATACTGTAATGTTTCAAAGGGAATTGCATATTCCAGGGAAAGACTAAAATAACGGAGACTAAAGTAGCAGCAGGATATGCCATAATGCTTTTTGTATTTTGAGAATCTCCCTTTGCTTTGGGGTTGTACAAACTCAGTAATTGTCTTGATTCAATCACCTTACATTTGTATGTTGCATTTATTTAATAGAGGTCAAGATCTGAACAACAATTAATTCCAACAATTCATCAGCTTTCACCCCAATATACCAGTGCATGCTATTGCTATATTTTTCTAGATAACTGCTCACAATTATGTGAATTGCTTCCTAATACCTGGGGGGGGGGTGAGTGGCTGGTGTTTCCTCTGTATTTTCTGGAGATGTTTTCTTAACAGGGCACTTACTTGCATGGTAAGAGTCTAAAGTCAACACTGAGTGGGTGGGTGGGGGTTGGGAGGGGAGGAGAAATATTTTTGGCAGTTTGAATTTGGGGGCAGACAGTTTTTAGCTGGAGCTGGTTAAAATTAATACTGAGGCACACTTGTGGTGTAGATCCTCTCTTTGGGAATCTGATGCAGAATTAGTGACTGTGCTGAAAGATCCTTTTGCTACCACTATGGTCTCTCTCTCTCTCTGTGTGTGTGTATATATATATATAAAGGGACCCCTGACCGTTAGGTCCAGTTGTGTCTGACTCCAGGGTTGCAGCGCTTATCTTGTTTTACTGGCTGAGGGAGCCGGCGTACAGCTTCCGGGTCATGTGGCCAGCATGACTAAGCCGCTTCCGGTGAACCAGAGCAGCGCACGGAAATGCTGTTTACCTTCCCGCCAGAGTGGTACCTATTTATTTACTTGCATTTTGATGTGCTTTTGAACTGCTAGGTTG